ACAAAGGGTATACAAACAGCCATAAAACAATAAACAAAATGACAGGAATAAGTTCTCACTTATCGATAATAACCTTGAATGTAAGCAGATTAAATTCGCCACTTAAAAGATATAGACTGACTGAACAGCTAAAAACAAACAAACAAACAAAAAACTCCAATATATGCTGCCTACAAGAAACTCACTTCACCTGCAAAAGACACACATAGACTGAAAGTAATAGGATGGAAAAAGATAATTTGTGAAAAGCAAAACCAAAAGCAAGCAGGGGTAGCTATATTTGTATCAGACATAACAGACTTTAAGTCAAAGGCTGTAAAAAGAGACAAAGAAGATCATTACATAATGATAAAAGGATAAATTCAGCAAGAGGATACAACAATTCTAAATATATATCTATCCAACATCACAGCACCCAAATGTATAAAGCAAATATTATTAGATCTAAAGGGAGAGATAAATTCCAAAGTAATGAAAGTTGGAGAATTTAACATCCTACTCTCAACATTAGAAAGAAAATCAACAAAATATTTTATTTATATTGCACTTTAGACCAAATGGACCTAACAGGCATTTACAGAACATTTTACCCAACAGCTGCAGAATACACATTTTTCTCATTAGTACACAGAATATTTTCCAAGATAGACCATATGTTAGGCCAAAAACCAAGTCCTGACAAGTTTTTAAAAATTGCAATCATATTGACTATCTTCTCAGACCACAATAGAATAAAACTAGAAATCAATAACAAGAGAAATTTTGGACACTGAATAAATACTTAGAAATTAGGCAACATGCTCCTGAACAACCACTGGGTCAATGAATAAATTAAGAAGCAGATTTAAAAAAATTTTTTAAAAACAAGTGAAAATGGAAACAGAACATACCAAAACATGTGAGATACAACAAAAAACAGTGCTAAGAGGGAAACTTACTGCAATATACACCTACATCAAAAAAGTAGAAAATTAAATCCAAAATTAGTAGAAGGAAAAAATAATAATAAAGATTAGGCCAGAGTTAAATAAAGTAGAGACTAAAACAAGCAAAAAATCAATGAAATGTACATTCATGTTTTAAAAAGATAACAAAATTGATAAAGCACTGGTTAGACTAACTTAAGGGGAAAAAAGACAGAAAACCCAAATAAAATCAGAAATAAAAAAGAAGATAATACTACTTATACCACAGAAATATGAAGAATCATTAGAGACTGTTATGAACAACTATACACTTTGTAAAACCTACAGAAAATGGATAGATTGTTGTACACATACAACCTACCAAGGTTGAACCAGGAAGAAATAGAAAACCTAAACAGACCAATAACTAATAATAAGATTGAATCAGGAACAAAATGTCTCTCAGCAAAGAAAAGTCCAGGACTAGTTGTCTTTACTGCTAAATTCTACCATACTTACAAAGAAGAACTAACACCAATGCTTCCTGAACTATTTCAAAAAAACCGAAGAGGAGGGAATTTGGGGATTCTTCCTAGCTCATTCTACAAGGCCAGCATTACCCTGATATCGAAACTAGACCAGGACACCACACACACACACACACACACACACACACACACACACACACATACACACACAACAAGCCAATGTCTAAACATAGATGCAAAAATCCTCAATAAAATACTAGCAAACTGAATCCAACAGCACATCAAAAAGATAATACACCATGATCAAGCAGGATTTATTCCAGGGATGCAAGAATGTTTCAATATATACAAATCAACAAATGTCATATATCACATAAGAATGAACAATAAAAACCATACAATTATCTCAATAGACACACAAAAAGCATTTGATAAAAGTCAACATCCCTTTATGATAAAAATTCTCAAAATATTAGGAACAGAAGGAACATGCCTCAACATAATAAAAGCCATATATGACAAACCCATGGGTAATATCATACTGAATGAAGAAAAGCTGAAAGTACTGGAACAATTCATGGATTCTCACTCTCATCATTCCTATTAACACAGTACTAGAAGTCCTAGCCAGTTCAATCAAGCAAGAGAAAAAAATAAAAGACATCCAAATTGGGAAATAGAAAGTCAAACTTTCCCTTTGCAGATAACATGATCTTATATACAGAAAAACCTAAAGATTCCATCAAAAACTCTTAGAACAGATAAACAAATTCAGTAAAGTTGCAGGATATAAAAACAGCATGCAAAAATTAGTAGCATTTTTATACACCAATAATGAACTAGCAGCGAAAAAAATCAAGAAGGCAATCTCATTTACAATACTTACAAAAAATTAAGAAATCTAGGAATAAATTTAACCAAGTGAAAGATCTCTACAAGGAAAATTACAAAATGAAGAGGACAAACAAATGGAAAGATATCTCATGCTTATGGATTGGGAGTATTGAAATTGTTAAGGTGACTGTACTACCCACAAAAAAATCCACAGATTAAATGCAATCCCTATCAATATACCAATGAAATTCTTCACAGAAATAGAAAAAAAAATCCTAAAATTTGTATAGAGCCACAATAGACCCTGAATAGCCCAAGCAATACTCAGTAAAAAGAACAAAGCTGCAGACATCACACTATCTGATTTTTAAGTATAGTGTGAAGCTATAGTAGCCAAAACAGCATGATATTGGTATAAAAACAGACACATAGACCAGTGTAACAAAACAGAACTCAGAAGTAAGTCCATGTATTTACAGCCAACTGATTTTCAACAAAGACGTCAAGAACATACATTGGGGAAAGGACGCTCTCTTCAAAAACTGGTGCTGAGAAAACTGGATATCCATATGCAGAAGAATTAAATTATACCCTTGTGTCTCACCATAAACAAAAATCAACTCAAAGTGGATTTAAATGTGCAACCAGAAACTATAAAGCTACTAGAAGAAAACAAAGTGAACATGCTTCATCATTGGTTGAGGCAAATATTTTATGGGTAAGATTTCAAAAGCCCAAGCAACAAAGCAAAAATAGACAAATGGGACTATATTAAACTAAAAAGTTTCTACACAGCAAAGAAAACAACCAACAAAATGAAGAGACAACCTGTTGAATAAAAGAAAATATTTGCAAACTATTCATCCAACAAGGGATTAGTATCCAGAATATGCAAGAAACTCAAACAACTCAACGGCAAGAAAACAAATAATTCCTTTAAAAACTGGGCAAAGGATTTGCATAAATATTTCTCAAATGAAGACATACAAATGGCCAACAAGTATACAAAAAAAAAAAATGCTCAACGTTACTAATCAACAGGGAAATAAAAATCAAAACCACAATGAGATATCATGTCATGCCAGTTAAAATGGCTACTATTAAAAAGACAAAAAGTAACAAATGCTGGTGAGGATATGGAGAAAGGGGAACACTTCTACACTATTGGTGGGAATATAAATGAGTACAGTCATTATGGGAAACACTACAGAGGTTTCACACACACGCACGCGCGCACACACACACACACCCCCCAAAAAAAAAACCACTAAAAATAGAACTACCACACGATCCAGCAAGGCCACTACTGGGTATTTATCCAAAAGAAAGGAAATTAGTATATCCAAAGAATATTTCTACACTTCTATGTTTATTGCAGCACTATTCACAATAGCCAAGATATGGTATCAACCTAAGTATACATCAGTGGATGAATGGATAAAGAAAATGTGATATATATACACAAGGGAATACTATTCAGCCTTAAAAAGAAATGAAATCCTATCATTTGCAACAACATGGTCAGAACTGGAAGTCAATATGTTAAATGAAATAAGCCAGGCACAGAAAAGCAAATATCTCAGTATCTCACTCATATGTGGGAGCTTCAAAAGTTGATCTCATGGACGTACAGAGTAGACTGATAGTTACCAAAGGGTGGGAAAGAAGCTGGGATGGACAGAGTTTGGTTAATGGCTACAAACATGCATTTAGATAAAAGGAATAAGTTCTAGTGTTTGATAGCACAGTAGGGTGACTATAGTTAACAACAATTTATTATATATTTCAAAATAGCCAGAAGAGAAGATTTGAAACGCTCCCAACAGAAAGAAAAGACACATATTCAAGGTGATAAGTATCCTAAATTCCCTGATCTGAGCACTACATATTTAATGCATGTATCAAAATATCCTATATACTCCATAAATATGTAAATGTATCAATATATTTTAAAAAGAAATTCATATAAAAAGTAACTATTGGAGTGACAAAAATGTTCTAAAATTAGATTATGGTGATATTTGCAATTCTCTGCAAATTTACCAATCAATTACCATTGATTTTTACACTTAAAGCAAGTAAATTGTATTACCTATAAATTATCTTTGTAATAAAGCTGTCAAAGTGAATTGTTACGAAACCTATTACAATAAATGTGAACTGTCTAACATATCCAGAAAGTATTTTTGTTTTTAATAAAGATAATTATTGTGGTTGGTCTACAGTCTTTTCTTTCATTCATTTATTCATTCAAGAAATTTTGTTGTGTAATCACTATGTTTTCAGGAAATATACTAGGTGGTAAGCATATAGTGGTGAGTAAACGGAAACTTGTTGAGTCTATAGGCTATTATATTAATTTCTTTTTTATTTTTATAGATGCCCTGTTCATTAACCTGTGGTTATTGTCATTATATTCTTTCATTTGCAGAATTCCACATTCTTCCCAAATTGAAGTTCAAAGTAAACAGCACAGAATCCCCACTTTGAGAATAAAGCATCTTGTAGTTAATGTAGTTAATGCCACATGGACTTGGGGTACCTACCACTATATTTCTGTGTGACTTTAGGCAAGTTACTTGATTGCCTGTAAAATGAAGCTTATAATATCTACCTCATAGGTTGCCTTGAGAATTAGATGAATTAATAAATGCAAAATGCTGGCCTCGTAGGCAGCCAACAAATATTAGTTTCCATTCCCTTCCTTAAAAAATGATGCAGACAATATTATACCTGAAGCTCTGAGACTGTTGTCTATAAAGAGGTTACTCACCCTCCTTCGATGATGAAATATCGGAGCTTATCATTGCTATCTCGGGAGGGTGTGGCATAGCATTTGTTGAGCGTTAGGATTAAATGTGTGGAGTCAGCTCCAACCACAAAAACCCCTACATACAGCACATCTCGAGTTGTCAACACTACTTCACCCTGGCGGTAAGGATGTTTGTAGGAGGCATTTTTGTAGAGAGCCATCTTGGTGGTGAAGCTGCCTTCTTGGGTTGGAACTGTCAGGTTAATTACACTAAAACGGAAACAATTATGAGACAGGAACCTAAAACAATGTTACCTGTTCAATTATCTACCATTTTTCAAGCTGAGAATGCAGAGGGAAAGCAAAACATGTAGTAGCAAAGTCTAAGGCTGTGCTGTCCAATATAGTACCTGCTAGCCACATGGGGCAATTTACATTTAAATGAAATAAAATTAAATAAAATTAAAAATTCAATTCACAGCCCCCTGAGCCACATTTCAAGTCCTGAGCAGCCACACGTAGCCACCACATTAAACAGTACAGATGGAACATTTCCATCATCACAGAGAGTTCTATTGAACAATGTTGATTGAAAGGATTTAGGCTCAAGAAACGCGAATTATGTTTTTCCTAGGGCATCAAAGACAAATGCTAGCAATTTTGATTATGCTAACCTTAACTGTCAAGGAAAAGAAAAAGCAATGTGCACAGCCCAGGAGGTGCCTTACCTTAGCATAGGCTTCACAACAGAATCCAAGGAGATCTTGATATCCAGCTCATAAGCACATGCAAATTCCACATTGATCGTGCGGTCCCTGGTGATGATGTTGCCAGTGTTGTTGGCACTTTCGATCCAGATTGTGTTTTTATACATGATATGAGTGCCATTGGACTGCAGAGCAAGGGGAAGTCAGAAATCATTACATCTGGGAGTGAGTACGTAGCTTGCATATCAAATCCATATCCCTGAAAGTGGAGAAATGGCTTCCTTCCATACATAACTTAGAGGCCAGTATAAAGCAGCATGGAGCTAGCCTTAGCATTTACTTGGGGGCAAAAAAGTATTACAATAGATATCAGCAGCACCCTTCAGTCTGCTAACCTTGAATACCCGTGGAAGGTGATTTCATCCACTACTGAATTCTAACCACTACCAGACCCCACTTATCTGTGAGACCCCAAGCTAGGAATAGCATGAACTATTGCCATTGCTGAGTAACAGAAATCTTCTTTTTCAATGCTTAATTCAAAATCTCTTCTCCACCAAATCCATCACCAGACATCCCTACAAGGACCAACATGAACAAGTGCAAGTTTCACTTCCTTACTCCTTTCAACCTCTGGTAAAAGTATTAAGAAATAGAGCCATGAATAGAAGACGCACAGCAAGGCAGAAAAAGAAGAGAAACAAGATGCTTTGCTAACCTATACATTGCACAATCTGACATTAAAAGTTGGGACCTTACTATATTTCTGAAGTCAGCTGTTTTTTGTTTTGTTTTGTTTTGTTTTTAGTGACAGGGTCTCACTGTCACCCAGGCTGGAGTGCAGTGGTGCAATCATAGCTCACTGCAGCCTTGAACTCCTGGGCTTGAGATCCTCCCATGTCAGCCTTCCAAGCAGACACAACTACAGGCACTGTCACCAAAGCCAGCTAATTTTTAGATTTTTTTTTTTAAATAGAGACAAGGTCTTGTGATGTTGCCTGGGCTCATCTTGAATTCCTGGCCTCTAGCAGTCCTTCTGCTTTGGCCTCCCAAGGTGCTGGTGAGAGGTGACAATGTGCTGGCAGCCCTCACTCTTCGCACCTCCTCGGCCTCAGTGTCCACTCTGGCAGCACTTGAGGAGCTCTTTACCCCACCACTGCACTGTGGGAGCCCCTCTCTGGGCTGGCCGAGGCCAGAGCCGGCTCCCTCTGCTTGCAGGGAGGTATGGAGGGAGAGGCGCAGGCAGGAACTGGGGCTGTGTCCAGCGCTCACAGGCCAGCGCCAGCCCAGGGTAGTAAGGGGCTTAGCACCCTGGCCAGCAGCTGCAGAGGCTGTGCCATGTTTCCCAGCACTGCTGGCCCACATGCACCACTCTGGAATTCTCCCCAGGCCTCAGCCGCCTCCCCGTGGGGCAGGGCTCAGGACCTGCAGCCTGCCATGTCCGAGCCCCACCCTCCATGGTGGGCTCCCAAGGGGCCCAAACCTCCCCAATGGGCTCCACCCCCTGCTCCATAGTGCCTGGTCCCATCAACTACCCAAGGGCTGAGGAGTGCAGGTGCCCCTCAGGACTGGCGGGCAGCTCTGCCTACAGCACTAGGTGAAGCCAGCTGGGTTCCTGAGTCTAGCAGGGACTTGGAAAACCTTTATGTCTAGCTAAGGGATCGTAAATGCACCAATCAGCACTCTGTGTCTAGCTCAGGGTTTGTAAATACACTAATCAGTACTCTGTATCTAGGTAACCTAGTGGGGACTTGGAGAACTTTTCTGTCTGGCACTCTGTGTCTAGCTAGAGGATTGTAAATGCACCAGTCAGTACTCCATGTCTAGCCCAGGGTTTGTAAATACACCGGTCAGCACTCTGTATCTAGCTAACCTAGTGGGGACTTGGAGAACTTTTAAGTCTAGCTAAGGGATCGTAAACAAACCAATCAGCACTCTGTCTAGCTGAAGGTTTGAAAATACACCAATTGATACTCTGTATCGAGCTAAGGTAGTGGGGACTTGGAGAACTTTTCTGTCTAGCACTCTGTGTCTAGCTCAGGGATTGTAAATGCACCAATCAGCACCCTGTCAAAACAGACCAATCAGCTCTCTGTAAAATGGACCAATCAGCAGGATGTGGGTGGGGCCAGATAAGGGAAGAAAAGCAGGGTGCTGGAGCCAGCCAGTGGCAACCCACTTGGGTCCCCTTCCGCACTGTGGAAGCTTTATTTTCGCTCTTTACAATAAATCTTGCTGCTACTCACTCTTTGGGTCCACGCTGCCTTTAAGAGCTGTAACCCTCACTGCAAAGGTCTGCAGCTTCAGTCCTGAAGCCAGCGAGACCACGAACCCACCAGAAGGAAGAAGCTCCAAACACATCTGAATGTCTGAAGGAACAAACTCCAGACACACCATCTTTAAGAACTGTAACACTCACCGCAAGGGTCCGCGGCTTCATTCTTGAAGTTAGCGAGACCAAGAACCCACCAATTCCGGACACACTGGGATTACAGGCATGAGCCATAGCACTCGGCCTGAAGCCACCTGTTAAATGAGGTTTGGGACTCCCTTACCCCCTGAAATAGCTAAGCCTAGATGTATTTGCCTCAAAGAACAATAGAAGCATAAAAGACACAATTCTATCCATATACAAGACAAAGAACCACAGTAGGCATCCCAAACCAAGGAAAAAACACATCACTCTTTCAACTCCGTCAACCACTTAGCATGAAATGACGACTGCTCTTGCTGTCTTTCATTTTACACATGCCTATTGCTGTTTTCCAAGGAGCATATTTCTAAGCAGATCATCCTGAAGTTGGCTTTCGGGACAATAAATGTGCAAACACTCAAAGCTGTCGCTGCCTCTGCCAGGTGCTCTTTCCTGCTGCTTTTCTCACCTGCACAATGTTTCCACAATTCCCTTTGGTGTTGTTGATCTGAAAGGAGATAAAATCTTCCCCCTCGATGCCGGTACACTGTCTGTCATTGATTCTCACGCCCTCCCTCTCAAAACCGAGCTGGAAGAGTTTGCACTTAGATATGGACACTTCCATCTGGGATGCTTTGCAGGTCACCTCTGCATCGATAATGTCATGTGAGTCTGTGGGAACAGTTATTACGAAAGGCAAATCAGTGGAGTCGGTCTTGCTGCAGGAGTGGGAGCAAAGCATCCCATTACCATTCTCCTTTAGAAGAGGCAAATGATCTCCACTCAAAGACTGCAGCATTTCTAATTAGGCTTTGATCAGGCCAAGCGAGCATATGAATTCATTCAAAGCAGTAACTTGGGCATTAGCAGAGCCTTTTTAAAAAGATAAAAATGCTAATAAAGTGTCTTCTGTCTTTTCTTTACAAAAACATGTCTTCCCCCACCTTGCTGGTGGCAGCTACTTTTCTGTAAGTTACATACTGAACATACCAAATCTGGCACATTGTGGCCTGGCTGAAAAGCATGCCTCTCAGGGACAGCAGCACTGGCCAGGCCACATCCGAAGCCCCTGCTGATTCAGCTCGGCAGAACCCTAGCGATTCCCAGGTGAGCACTAGGAGCTTGTTTTTTGACATGGCAATGCACCAATTGACATTTTCTCTTGAGCATGTAAATACAGCTAATAAACACTATAGAAACAGAGAAAAACATTTTTATCTGTTTAGGTGAAGCCCTTGTCCCCTCCTAAGGAGCCTTTGGTCAACCAGATTTTCATTCTCCAATGCTGTTAAATTTAGCAGCTGCCTCTGCGTTACTTGGTTCAGGAAGGGGAGCAGAGATGGAAGGCAAAGCAGCTCCGCTTCAAGCTGCCATCCAGGCAGGCTCGGCAGTGGACAAGGCCATTTCCACACCAAGGGAGCTACAGTTAGGAACAAGTCCTGGAGTCCTAGTTATTTATGGCTTGCTTCAGACATTTCAGTCATACATATCTTCGGGACCAAAAAGCTTTGGGCCAAATAAATCTGGCTTTAAATAACATTCATCCTAATTATTTCATATTGACATCAAAATACCCTATTTCCTTGTGCATCTAAAAGATCAATTTGGACCTTTCTGATGTTGAACATGACCTCAGATGGAAATGGCTGGTTCCATTCATGTACAAATTTGTGTGTTACAATGTATTGAGGAAAAGGATGTAGCTATACTTTGAAGCAGTCAGATTGCTTCCTTGTTCTGCTTAAATGCTCCTGAAAGCTTCACTGTTTGGGAAAGCTTCACAAAGTGGGATGCATCAAGGTCCCTCCCCAGAGCAGCATCTCCCATGGGGCCTTTCTGGGTGGGGAGGTGGCCCGTGTCACTCACTGTTTCCATAGGGGGGCGGCTCGATGCAGCCACACAGCTCCCTGCCATTGCCCAGCTCGCAGGTTCGGTTGGGACAGTCCGCCCCCACACAGGGATCTTCAACCACTCCTGCTAAAAAGAAAAACACACAGAAACATGCACAACTTGATTTTCACACCTACATGCGGTAGCATTTGGTTCCACTCCAGACTTGCCTCTTTAATCACATTGGAATGGTCAGATGGCAGCTGCAGGTTAACAGACACGGCAACCTTCCAGAAAATAATGTCAATAGCTAGCAAATAGGTGCCTGCTATGGGCCTGGATTAGCTTCTTTGACCCTCACAAATACTCCTCAAGGCTAAATATTATAAGCTCTATTTCACAGCTGAAACTTGCCCAAGGTCAAAAGCGAAGGTAAGTGGTGAAGACTGAATGCACAGATGCTCTTAACCCCAGTAATCTTACCACGATTAAGGCACCCACTACACTATAGCACAATGATTTGCACTGATATTTATATAAAGAGTAGCATCCAAATCATTTATCTCTACATCCCAGCATTCAACCACCTCATGGTTGGTGCACAATAAATATGTGTCAATAATGAACACATTAGGGCCAGTAAGATCCCAGAGAGGTCTCCCACACCAGCGCTTCTGACTCCTTTCTGATTCTTGGTTCACTTTCCCCCGTGATCTGCTACTTGATTTTGTAAAAATAGACAAAGGAAAAACCTCCACACAGCTCACCAGCATTGACTTAGATTCATGGTGCTGTTTTGCTAAAAGGGTAAAACTGTAAGTAAAATAAAGATGTTATGTGGAGTATCGTCATCATGTTTTTATGAACAATATTTCTGTAACAGATGAGATCACCTGCAAGATAGTCAACGCCTCAGTTTGAGAACCACTAATTAGGAGCATTTTCTTTTAGAAGTTCATTTCTTTATTTAAAGAATCGCTCTGCCTATCAAGACAGAATATTCCTCCTGTTCATCACGGTATATGATGGACAGTGCTAAAGAAACAACTGTTCAATCCCAGCATGAGCCAAGTTGGCTTCAAGAGTTTTTTAAAAAAGAGTTTTTAAAGGATGCAAAATTTCATTTAGACAAGAGGAATAAATCCAAGCGATCTACTGTACATCAAAGTGGCTATAGTTAGTACCAATACACTGTACACTTGAAAATTACCAACAGACTAGAGTTTCATGTTCTCACCACAGACACACATACCCCCACACACAGGGAAAAAAAGAGTTTAAAAACAAAACAAAAATCCCAGGCTGCCCACAGCTCCATACACCTCTTCTGACTCAGCTGCCACGCCCCTCTGGTAGGTAACTAATTACATTAGGTAGGAGTGCAGGGATGGCTCAGCATAAGCCTGTCTTAATTTCTGGAAGGACAACTGAAAGAATGCCATCAGCATAAGTTAAATATATTTATTTTCAAAAGGCTGCTTTTTATAAAGATCCTTTCACTGGCCCAGTATATCCAGTACCTAGCACAGTGCTAAGCACATGGCAACCATCAAGCGAATGTTATGATTGACCGACTCTGCATGAGAATGACAAACAAGAGTAACAGAAACATGGTGCAGAGGTTACAGTCCACAAGAAGGAAACGTTTATTTACAAATGTGGTGGTCCATCTGCCAACTGGCAGATAAAACATGCCCTTAGACAGATGGAAGCTTTGAGTATTTTTTGAATTATATATGTATTTTTTAAAATTCCTGACAATTTGAAAAGTTCAAAACAGTTAATTTTTAAAGTCATTGAAAGTATTCTTATGAACACAGCAGAGTAAAATATTAACAAATATTTTTGTTAGTTTCCAACAGAGACTAGTAATTTGCTTAACAGTTTCTGAAATCACTGAAATGTATTTTAATTAACTGCATTGTTTTTAGGCTCTGAATTAAAGTGTATTCCTACATTTGATCCAGTTTGGTCTGCAAATTCACCAACGTGTATGTATCGTCTTGGAGTCAGCCTGTTTTCACAGTGGTACCTATATACACACCGGGCTGGTGGTGTGGGTCAGAGTACAAAACACACATTCTGTTGGCCACACTAGTGGGAGTGACCATTTATGTGTATGGACACACATGTATGTCTATGGCACGTTTACATGTGTGTGTATACATCTATAATCGCTCCCCTATTTGATTAACACAGTAGGAAAATGAACAAATTGAATAATAGAATACACATCAAAATAATTTTCTTACTACAGAAAAAAACCCACAAGATTCTGTTTACCTTTTTTTTTTTACCAGCTGATCTAATATATGTGATCTCCACAGTCAATCCAACTGCAGCTTCCTTTCAGCCCAGGTGGACATAACCAGCTCAGTTCCACCTCTGCCTTCCACCTGCTCTTGCCTTCGCTTTCTGATAGAGGATGACCTCATGCTAAAGAAGCCAAGGTGGAGATGAGTTTGGGAACTAAAATCCATCGGGAATCCCACACTATGTCCCTCTACCTCATAAGCCACTAAACCAGGGCTCTTCCAACCCAGAGAGCCCCATCTTCCCACGTTTGTTTTCCAAATTCCATAGCCGGACAAAAACCATAGGTGGGTTAGGCTCCATGGGAGGGGCCCGTCACTGAATCTCGGCTGCAGCTCACAGCTCTCTACCATCCAATCCTGGAAGCAGATCTATGAGTAAATCTGGAGAGGACCAGTCATCCCTAGAAAAAGCAATGCTACCTGCAAAGCTGTTCTTTTCACTGAAAATGGAATCCACAGAAATAAAATAATTCTCTTACAGCAATTCTCCTTCTCAATCCATTCGGTGCTGAGGATCCCGAAGGAGCGGCAGGCCTCCCCGTAGGCGGCCAGGGAGCCGCACAGCTGGAACTTCTTGTGGTTGTAGCAGCCGTCCAGGTAGCAGGACTCGTAGAATGGGAGGGGATCAAGAAGCCCATAGCAGGGCTGGAAGAAGCCCTTCATGTCGGTGAGCTTCAGGCAGTAGCCATCACCCTGCATCTTCTGGATGTGCACATTGTCACACATGGCTGCATACTGTGAGAACTGCAGCTCGTTGCAGCTGGGGGCAAGAGGTCTGGTCAGACTGAGTGAAGCAAAAACAGCCATCTGAGATCTTCAATGGAAGGTAAATAGCATCTGTACCTGTTTTGCTACCCCTGAAGCTAGTGCACTGTGCCAATTCCAACACTAATTAGCTTTGTGACCTTCGGCAAGTCAGATACTACTGGTCTCTATTCTATCCATCTAAGAAAGTGAAACGGTAATTCCTGTCGCTTATATCATTGAACTACAGTGAGGCTAAAATGGTATGATGGATTAGTGGCCAAAGTGCCATACGAAAGGCAGATATTGATATAGTAACCACGAACACTTTGGCATAATTGATTGATATGATTGACACAATTGATATAATAACCATTAACAGGTATGGATATAATAACTAATAACAATGATAATAGTAATGATACTTGGCAGAATTAAAGATTTGAAAGGAAGCCTTCTAAGACAGTTCCACTTTAGCCATGAGGGACCAAAAGCAAAACATTACAAGAAAGTCGGTGTCCAGCTGATAACAGTTTATTTTAAAAGGAAGAGGAGGGGAGGGGAGGGGATGGGTGAGGAGGAGGAGCAGGAGGGGAAGGGGGAGTGGGGGAGGGGAGGGGAAGGGAAGGGAAGGAAGGGAAGGGAAGGGAAGGAAGGGAAGGGAAGGGAAGGGAACGGGAAAGGGTAAGGAAGGGAGAAAGGAAGGAGCGAAAGAGGAGGTGAGGAGGGAGGGAAGGAGGGAGGCAGGACGCGCCAATCGAGGAAATGGATCAATAATCTCAAGGAGAGCTGAACCTTGCCTATCTTTGAAACACTACGGCACGCGTTAGTGCTTCTAAATATAATGTCCAAAGTTCTCTCTTTTCTATCTGTGGGTCAATGCATAGCATTCTAGAGTAAGCACCAAATTAGGAATCCTGGAATCTCGTCCTGGCTTTGCCATATATGGGGCCTCCTCATATAAGTCATTCTCTGTCTTAGTCTCTGTTTTACCTAGGAAAGGAAGAGACTGGACAAGATACTGCCCAAGGATTTTCACAGCTCTGAGTCCCATAATTCACAGGATAGTCTAATATATGATACATTGTTCACTGTGCACTTGGGGCAGGGTCAAAGAGGCTTAAAGTGTGATTTCCAAGACTAGGGATTTAGCTGATATTTAGCATGTAAAGCAACGTGATTGAGCCATTGTACAAGCAGAACTAACAAGAAAGAGAAGCATATCTACAGATCCAGAAAGGTATCCACATACTCAGCAGCCCTGAGGGGCCCTAAATTTAAAACCTTTGGAATAACTTCTTTTTTTTTTTTTTTTTTTGAGACGGAGTCTCGTGCTGTCGCCCGGGCTGGAGTGCAGTGGCCGGATCTCAGCTCACTGCAAGCTCCGCCTCCCGGGTTCACGCCATTCTCCTGCCTCAGCCTCCCGAGTAGCTGGGACTACAGGTGCCCACCACCACGCCCGGCTAGTTTTTTGTATTTTTTTTTAGTAGAGACGGGGTTTCACCGTGTTAGCCAGGATGGTCTCAATCTCCTGACCTCGTGATCCACCCGTCTCGGCCTCCCAAAGTGCTTGAGCCACCGCGCCCGGCCTTGGAATAACTTCTTTAGCTCACTCTCTCTTTGCTGGCCAGGGGTGGGCCTAATAATAACCTTGTAACTTCTGTTTTTAAAAAAGGCTTTCCTGATTCCCACCAACTTCTACCTACACAACCATAGTCAAGCCTTCTTGTAAGAGGCAAGGACACACAATTAGACCCAGCACTAAGGGAGTCAAAGATAGCCCTTCTTCTTCTGAGTCAACTCTTAATTCCACACCCAGCAGGGGTGCCTAGGTCCCGGATGGGCAGCTGGTCAAGGCTTCAGAGTTCTCATCCTGGGCACACTCTTCTGTTTAGCCAAGGGCTGGATGACCTGAAAATTAGAGTTATATCATCTAAGCCCAACTCCTTCCTCTGCAGTTCACAAAATTACTAGGGTCTCTGATGTGCCTAGTTTTAGCATCAAAACTCCAAAGAGCTTTGGTTCATCTCTGTAGGAGAGCAGGGGCAGTGCTAAGGAAAGTGCATTCCTCATTCACACCACCCATGGACGTGAGAGAACCTGGGCCACCAAGTTTAGTGGCTTGAACTCCTACACCCTCACCTCTTCTGCATGCCATTGGTTTTCCAGCTCTGGGCCAGCACCACGCTGCTTACCACCGGCTTCCCTCGCAAGGTCACATAATCATCTGTTAGGTCCCCGTTGAAGTTGCCACAGAGACCACACACTTTGTTCTGCAGCCTCTCGCTGATACTGATTTTAATGACGTTGAAACCATTGTAGTATATCTGGATGTCTGGGCTGGTGTCAATCACCAGAAACCCCTCACTGCTGTAGATTTTGGTTGCCAAACCAGTTATAAATGGAACATTCACTTGTGTGCCATTCACCTATAGGAGGAGGAAAACAGAAAATAATTATGCTTAGAGCAGGGGTTGCCAAACTTGTTCAGGAAAGGGCCAGGGAAAATATTTTGGGCATCGCAGGCTCTGTGATCTCTGTCTCAACGACTCCACTCTGTCCCTGCAGCATGACAGCAACCACAGACAATACACAACTAAATGAGTGTGGATGTGTTCCAGCAAAGCTTTATTTACACAAACAGGCAGCAAGCAGATTTGCCAGCCCCTGCCCTAGAGTTTAAAGGCATTCACTCATCTTACTGTGTAGTTGCCCCAAAGGAAGCAACTATGGAACAGAAGTAGGGGAGAGGAGGTGAGAGATAAGGAAATCTTAGAAAAGTATAACCCAAAATGAATGGCTGCATTTGTGTCTAAAACTTTCCCCAGCATAAGCCAATTACTGAAAATGAAATCCCAATCCTGTGCCAACGAGAGTCTAACACAGTTAAAATGGATCTGGGCATCATTGCCATGTTTATTGTTTTCTTGCTTATAATGTTCAAACTGGAGGTCCCCCCAGAGGACCTATAGGCACATTATTTTCTGCATTTGTCATTTTCCTGCTTTCTAACATTTTCTTTCCTTAGCCCTTGGCACAGAATATAACATGCTTTTCCTGTACTTACAAAATAAAAATTTTCTCCCCAGGCTATTAGTAGCTTTTGTACCTTAAAATAAAAAAATAAAAAACAGACACCTTTTTAAAAAATGAGTCTCTACTGTTTTGACTAGCTTGGGTATTTTGTTCAGCCACAATGTCAGTTTTTCTCTCTCGGGTGGTCATTTTCATTTTCTAGCTCCTGGATTCTGGACCAACGCTGTCGTGTTGATGTGGGCCAATTTGTAAAAGGAATGAGAATGTCAAAAACAGTGGCACCTTTCACTGAAGTTAAAACTGGTATTAAATTTCAGATTCTTCATTTTAAGCTCACAAAATACTGCTGGTCTTTTGCCTGATGCTTGATACTATGCTATTTGATGACTCTTCAATTAAAGATACACTCAAGGCCTGATTATCTGAGCAGGTGGAAAACAGATACACGCAATAACACTCAGTTCCAAAAAGTGGTAATGTGGCTGTCTCTGGGTTCCTCCCTCCCTGTGCTCACAGTGCTGGGGCCTGGCTCCATCCTTCCGGGCGACCGGCGGCAGCAGCAGCCTGCTCTGCCTGAGAGGCTGGGTCACCGTCAACAGTGCATCTGAGCAGGCGATCTTCTTAAAAGGGGTGGGAGGAATTCAAGTAGAGAGCCATAGTTGTTGTGGGGGTGAGTGGGGGGTTGGGTGGGGGGTTTACATTTATTTACACACAGGTGTAAGATAAACAAGAAACCAGGAAATGGGCCTAAGGAGGAGCCAACCTAAGAGAAGTCCACCAAGTGCAGCCTCCCATTTCCTGCCCCTCAGCGGGTCATCATGTGGCCCTTGGACAAAGGAGGTGCGCGTCAGGTTTTCACTCAGATTGGTGTTTTGTAGGCAAATGCTTGCTTTCTCTTAGCTTATAGAAAGGATGGCAAAGATGAAGGGTGGGTCTGACTACAAGAGGGCAGAGCCAAAAATAATCTTAAGGGCTGTTAAAAACAAATGAGACGCATTTTGGAAAGTAATCAGAGTAAAAACTGATTTATCTAACAATTTATCACCTGAAGCTCTGTTAGCACCCATGCCATTGCCTGGCTCTGAGACCCCGCAAGTCTCCTGCCTTTGGAATCATCAGCCAAGAACCAAATGGTGTCCATTCTTATGCTTAAAGCATCTTCATACTTCGATTCTTTAAAACCTGGTCACTGTGTGTGGAACACCATGAAGCAACAATCTATCCCACAACTTGGCTATCTGGGAGAACCCTACACAATCCCCCAGCCAACCCCTTGTTTCCGGGCCCCTTCTTAAGAATGGACACCAGACTGGTCACCTTGACCGTGTTCCGGTCGCTGATGAGAATCTGCTCTTCGTTAATGTAGAAGTAGACGGGAGAAATGATGGTGAGGTTGGGGGCGGACCACTTGTCGAAGTTGATGATAAGCTGGAAGGAGATGTCGGGCAGTTTCTGGCAAATGGTGGACAGCACGAAAGCGCAGTTGGCCGGGAAGCGGAGGAAGGCGCCGTCGAAGGTGCGGAAGACGCCGCCGCCGGCCGCCAGGCAGTAGGAGGTCTTGGTGCTGAAGCAGCCGCGCACCCCGTTGCGCAGCGCGCACTCCTCGTCGGACTTGCACTGGCGCGGGTCGCACTGGATCAGGTTGCGACGGAAACAGCGGCAGCGCCGCGTGCAGTCGCTGTTCCAGAACAGCTGCTTGGGCTGGAAGAGAGGCGCCGTTTGCATTAAATTCAGACTGTGGTCAGGGCTGGAGACCCCAAAGTCCAGTCCCCCTGGTCTTTTATCAGGCTGGGCTAGCCTATCTTTAATAGGGCTGGAATTTGTAGGAGGCAGCAGTGGGGAAACGGTCTCAACTCAAAGGCTCCATCAGTTGCATGCAACTCAGACGCCAAACAATATGCAGTTTTGACATTTACTTATTTACTTATGTATTTATTCTTAAAGACAGGGTCTCATTCTGTTGCCCAGGCTGGAGTGCACTGGCGCAATCGCAGATCACTGTAAGTAACCTGGAATGCCTGGACTCAAGCTATTCTCCTATCTCAGCCTCCCTAGTAGTTGGAACTATAGGCACACGCCACCACACCCAGCTAATTTTTGTATTTTTTGTAGAGACGGAGTCTCACTATGTTCTTGAACTGCTGGGCTCGAGCGATCCTCCTGCCTCAGCCTCTCAAACTGCTTGGATTACCGGTGTGAGCCACCACCCCGGCCATAACTTGATTGATTTTAATAAAGAACTCTGAAATCTTTGTGGCTGGATTGTAGAACTAATCACAGTCAACCTGAATGTGCAGCTGTTAGAGGAACTAGGTAAAGAGGAAGAATATTTGGTAGAAAATATTCATCAAGGAATCACACTTCTGACAAGTACAGACTCTGCTTCAAAGATGAAATTAAAATTCACTTAAGAATGATAAATTGGCCCTTCAAGTCTTAAACAGTAGTAAGAAAGCAATGACCAGCACTTCTGATGAACCATTTCACATTTCACAATCCTCACCCTTCCTTGTGTCTCGTCTGCTTCCAACTTACTTCTGTTGGAAGTACCTTCATTCCCATGTGTCCTGAATGTGAGAGATCCGGAGAACACCTGGGGTCCATGAAAGGAACGTTTTGGGATCAGATCACCTGGGTTTCAATCTAGTCCTGTATCCCCGCCTGTGCCATCTTGAGTAACATCACTCACCTCCCCAGTGTCACTTTGCTCATTTCTAAATTGGAGATATTAATGGTATCCTGTGGTTGAGTGCAGTGGCTCATGCCTATAATCCCAGCACTTTGGGAGGTCGAGGTGGAAGGACTACTTGGGCCCAGGAGTTTGAGATAAACCTGAGCAACACAATGAAACCTCATCTCTACTTAAAATAATAATAATAATAATAGGCCGGGTGCAGTGGTTCATGCCTGTAATCCCAGCACTTTAGGAGGCTGAGGTGGGTGGATCACCTGAGATCAGGAGTTCGAGACCAGCCTGGCCAACATGGTGAAACCCGTCTCTACTAAAAATGCAAAAATTAGCCAGGTGTGGTGGCACGTCTACAGTCCCAGCTGCTCGGGAGGCTGAGGCAGGAGAATCGCTTGAACCTGGGAGGTGGGGGTTGCAGTGAGCCGAGATCGTGCCATTGCATTCCAGCCTGGGTGACAGAGCGAAACTCTGTCTCAAAATAATAGTAATAATAATAATGATAATAATAACCAGCATGGTAGTGCATGTCTGTAGTCCCAGCTACTCCAGAGGCTGTGGTGGGAGGATCGCTTAAGCCTGGGAGGTAGAGGCTGCAGTGAGTTGTGATCCTGCCGCTGCACTCCAGCCTGGGCAACAGAGAGAGACCCTATCTCAGAAGTAATAATAATAAAATGAAATTTAAAATAATGTCTTACAGGGCAGTTGTAAGCACTAACTTAAATAAGATGTATAAAACACACTTCCTGGCATAGGGTAGGCACTCAATAAATAGAAGCTGCTATTACAGGAGTAGAACAGCTCATCGTCTTTCAGATGGTGAAGAAATTATGCAACATTATATAAAATACCTACAACAGAGCGTATCCTCAACTGGAGGCAGCTATTCTTTTCTTTTCTTTTCTTTACCAGGAGTCCCACAACTAGAATGTTATTTTCTACTTTTCCCAAAACAGGCGGCAATCTGCAGGCACGACTCTGCTTGGTAGGGTTTGCATTCTTGATGTTGCACTTGCTCTAGACTAAGAATTCCAGGAAACTGTTGGAAATTGGTCATGATTGTCCACGTGGGAGGTGGTACCAACAAATAGACTGTGTCAGAGAGATGTGGGCACTCAATGCATTATCGACTTACCAAAATAGTGTTATCCAGAAAAGATCTTTCAACAGCACAAAAAGGCCTATGTTTCTGTCTGGTCAGTTTTCTGCTTTAACTAGAGACATCAAAACCCTGGATATCAACTACAGATATGACTCAGATTCAAGGGTAAATAGATAGAGGAGAAGATCTTCCAGAACAGCTTTCCTGATTGCAATGCACTTCAAGATGCTATTGCTGATTCTTTCATCCTCAAAGTGAAGTCATTGCTGGAACTAAGTCTACTCTCCTTCCAGACTTACATAACATATTCTGGGTGCCAAGAGCCTCACAAATTGACTTCATTTCTCTTATCAGATTTATAGAATAACTGAGTGGATGGTTTGGCCTCTCCCTGATAAGAAGTCAGACATTACAGTGCTGAAAAGAGAAAAATAACTTGATGTATGTGGATATGATAAAGGGTAAATAATTCATCCACAAGAGAATCTGATCCTGAAACGAGCATCACAGTAGAGTGGCTGGCCCAACGTTGCTTTCTTCACCTTAATCACACATGACAATGACAGCTGGGTGATCACTCTACATGCTAATAGCCAGGCATAGTCTCTATTCATTTCCAAAGAAATTTATTCTATGAACAAGCCCCCAAGCGCTTTGGAATGGTGGCAAGTAGATGTGGATTCTTTGTTCTCTGAGTTTCCTGCTTCCCGGATGTAAGCTGTTGTCAAAATCCACTGAGGTTCTGATGAAAAACTGTTCATAATGTTTACACTGTAGTACTAATAGCAGCCAAGAGCTGACCATGCTTTTCCTGAGAGTCCCAAGGGCTTTTATTTGCATCCTTTCATTAACACGCCTGGATTTTTCGTTTACAAAGTGTTTCTCAAGAGAATAACAAAACAACAATAACAATAGCAGCTCCCAATTATTGAAGGACTCGATGCCAGGCAGTAGGCTAGGAACCCAGCATAGATTATTTATCCAACAGCCCTACTGGGTTGGTATCATTAGTCACATTTCATTCACAGGGAAACAGACGCTCAGAGAAATGACAGCGTTTGCTCAGTGTCACACCTCCAGCGGTGGTACTGCTAGGATCGAACCCAGGTTTCATTGAATTATGCCACACTGACACTCAGGATGCCTGCCGAGGGTGCATGGCACAGTTGATAGATGGATAGGTTTTGGTAAGTCTCCGGGCTGGGGAACACAGTTTATGGAGTACTTTTTGAGTTTTGAGCCTGATTGTATCTTCTCCTCAACTGTGAGAAAACAGAATTCATTAATTTTTTCCACATGTTCTACTTTTTCCTTTCAAATAATATTTCTAAGAGCTCATTTCAACACCCCCTCTCCCAAAAAGCCTCCTTTGATTAGTTCCACTATTTTACTGTACTTTCTCCCTGTCTTTCTAATATAGCATTTAAATAAATTTTCCACTGAAAGTGAAATTGAGGGTCACTTCCACATTTCTTTTATTTATCCCCAAAGTTAGGGCAACTTGAATGAGTCAATGCATCTTTACAAAAAGGAGTTACTATTTATTTTTCGCCTAGTTGATTTCCAATTCAGACATTTCAGTTAGATTTATTTTAAATGCTACTATTCTTTTTCACTTAAAATTGATTAGTTCTGTAGGGTATTATTTTTCACTTGCTGATAGGTTATTTTGTAACTGTTCTCCTGTTCTTTAACGTACATTGTTTCTCTCTTCTGAATAGATTTTTAAGATCCTCAAGGCAGGGGACATGCTTTCACATCCCCCACAATACCACCAACACAGTACTTTGCAAACAGCAGATACTCAATCATTCGCAGTTGTTAACCATCTAACTTGCCAACATACGGTTTTGATGTCATTTAAACAGGGAATGGGCTTGAGGTCGAACCATGAACTAAATGCCTTGTCTATTCAAGAGCTTTTCTAGCTTAGTATTATGGAATTCTAGCTTAGTATTATGGAAAGATTACAAAGTCCAAAAAGTGAAATGATTTCGTGAACTAATATGTTTTATTGATAAACATCTGCGAAGGGCATCTTCATAAACTCTATGTTTAAACCCCTGTAGGGGGCGCCACAGAGGGTGGGATGTGGGGGCACCACATTAGCAGTCCAGACCAAACTCTGGGGATGATCCACAGTGACAAATGGCACACGTGGAGATGGCAGCCACAGCTACCCTCACGGAGCCTCAACAGCCAGAAGAGGGAAGGCCGCCCCACTCAGCCTCCAGCTCCATATTTTCCAGTGACAAATGTCCTTAGCTAAGACAGCTACAAATGTCAGATTCACAGCTACCATATTTCCAAACTATAGCTGTATCTGAAGCTTTCAAACTGAGATTTACAGGACAGAAAACAGAGAAAGGCACGACAGACACACACAAATGTGAGTGAGTGGGGGAGGCAGAGCACCGGAGACCTTGCCAATGTGGAGGAGGGAGGAGGGAGACACTCAGGTGCTTTTCTGACACTCAGTGCCCAAGAGCATCATCTGAAGAGTGTGTTTAGCCTCTCTACCCCCGATCCCACTCCCCTGCCATGAACATGATGCTCTTCATAATGAAGTGGGAAAATTGGTCAATCTGACCAACCTCTTAGAGTTAGAGAGGAATCTGATCATTGGCAAGGAGGACGCCAGGCTGGCCTCCCATACCTCGTAATATTTGCCATCGGAGTAGCAGCCGCAGCTGTGGGGCAGGATGCAGCTCTTGCCGTTGAGGACGTAGCCAGCGTCGCACTGACAGCCCTCCACGCAGTAGTGGCTGCAGTCACTCTTCAGGCGGATGGCGGCACAGCGGGGCTGGCAGACACTCACGCAGCTCTCATAATGGCTGTTTGGAGGGCAGGTGACAGCTGGAACAGGACAGACAAGTCAAGACTCACACGATCACAAGGCACCGAGGAGGGTTTTCTCACGGCCACTGCTCACCTACTCAGGGGGATGAAGGGCACAGGGAGAGGCAGGAGGTAGGAGGTCTGCCACCTTTCTTCATTACTGCCCTCTTCACTCACAGAAAGCCTGGGTCTGATTAGTTGCCTTTTAAATAAAGGGCCAATGTGCAGATGGAGGTGGCTGGAGCTTCTCACATCATGGTCGTCCTCTCCTCAGCCTGGCCATTGAGATCCTCTATTGCCTGCCACCTAAACCGACCCCGCATCTGAATCTCCAGTTAGACATGTCACCTGATAACCTCTCAGGGCACCCACACTCCTCCTGCCTCTAGGTCTTCGTTCACACTGATCTTTCTTATTCATGCCCTCCTTCATCCTCTGAGCCTATCCAAATTCCTGGTTCTTCAAGTCCCAGTGGGAGTCCCAGCTTACCCATATAGCTCTCCCTCTTAGACCAATGTCAGCTCCTCTACACCCCAGAGCTTCTACAGAACCTTTTTCTAAGCCAGCAGTTTACCATCCATAGATGCCTGAGCCCCATGATCTCTGAGAAGGCAAATGTACACTCTGTGTGTGTGTGTTTGTGTGCATGAGTACACGTGCTGGCGTGGACGTGTGTGTGTGTGTTTGTGTGCATGAGTACACGTGCTGGCATGCACGTGTGTGTGCATGTGCACATGTCTGTGCAAACTGACTCACATCAATTATGTTCTACCATTTTTCAAATGCATCTAGATGCTTCTATAGAAGGCAAGTAGGGTCCTGGTGAAGGGTGTGGGCTCTGGAACCAGCTATAAGAGACCCAGAGCATCACTTGGGCTCTCTGAGCTTCAGCTTTCTTATCTATAAATACAGATACCAATAGCATTTGCTTCACGCCTGGTTGCAAAGGATTAAGTGAGTCTGTGTGCTCAGGACGGTGGCTGGCACTTAAGTGTTCCATAAGTATTAGTCAATCATTAAAGATAGGTTTGCTTAAAAAGTTTCGTAGAAGCTATTATCTCAATCAATGTATACTAAAAGCACAACTACCATTGTGTGGGAATGTCTACCCTATACTGTATACAGTATCTATATGGGGGGTTATTTCATTTATTAAATTATCTAGTGGTAACATCTACTTTTAGAGTACACAGTTCTATGAATTTTAACACGTTTTGATTCATATAACCACTCTCACAATATACCATATGTTTCTAAAAAACATTTGTAGTTTAATACATAATACTTGCATAGCGTAGAAAATCCAAACCATACAAGTAAAAGCATGATGAAATGGCAACCTCTGATACCAAACTATAGTCCATTTTTCCAGAAGTGTTGTATGCATATACAAGCACCCATTTGTGTGTGTATGTATGCACACAGGCATATGTGTATGCCCTGCCCATTACTTTTTGCATAAATGGGAGCATAATATATACACATTTCTGCTCATTGCTTTCTTTATGACAATATTCATTTCATTTAGCCTCAAATTATTGCTCTTGCACTGCTGCATGCTGAGTGTATTTTATGTGTTTATGCTGATGCTGCAGTGAACATCCCTGTACGTATATCTTTGCCCTCATGAGTAAGGGCATCTGCGGAATAAATTACTGAAAGTGGAATTACTGGGTCAAATGGTATGAATGCCACTAAGTTGCCTCTAAAGAGGCTGTGCCAATTTGTCTTCCTCCCTGCACTGTTGGAGGAGGTTTGTTTTCCCACACCCTCCTTGATTGTCTATCACCAAATTGTCTGATCCTTGGAAACAAAGTTAAAATACTCTATGTGCTGTCTCCTTATGCTATATCTGTATTATTATTATTATTATATATCCTTATTTAGTTTGCATTTCTTTGTGAGGTTGATCCTCTTGCTTTCATTTGTTTATAATCCATTCGTATGTCTTTTTTTGTTAACTGCCTTTTCATATCCTTTTCACATTTCATGTTGTTGAAATTTTTATTATTAAATTATAAAAGTTCTTTAAAAATTAAAATAGGCCAGGTCAGGTGCAGTGGCTTACGCCTGTAATCCCAGCACTTTGGCAGTCTAAGGTAGTGGATCATGAGGTCAAGAGATTGAGACCAGCCTGGCCAACATGATGAAACCATCTCTCTACTAAAAATACAAAAATTAGCCAGGCATGGTGGCACTTGCCTTTAGTCCCAGCTACTTGGGAGGCTGAGGCAGGAGAACTGCTTGAACCCAGGAGGTGGAGGTTGCAGTGAGCTGAGATTGTGCCACTGCACTCCAGCCTGGTGACAGAGTGAGACTCCATCTCAAAAAAAAAATGAAAATAGGCCTTTGTGGTATGTCGTATGTGTTACAAAATATTTATCATTTGTCTTTTGACTTTGCATTCATTTTAAAATAATTTTCTAACTTTTTTTGAAGTTGTTTATCTCTCTGCCATGGAAAGATGTAAAATTTTTAATGTAATGAAATTTATCAAATTTCCCTTTTAACTTTGGATAATTTGTTCTGAAACGTTCTCTCCACTGCAAGATTATCAAGAACACTCCTTTGTTTTCTTCTAGTATTTTTGTGATTTAATTTTTTTAAGTGTAATCTTTGTTCTGCCTGGATTTTATTTTGGAGTAAGAAATGAAGGAAGGATTTAGCTCTTCCCAGCTAGTTTGCCCTTTGACCTTTTACTATTTACTGAATAACAAATATGTTTTCCCAGTACTTTGAAATGCCAACTTTACCATATGCTAATTTCTCTTTAGTGTTTGGACTTGTTTCTGAACTTTCTCTTCTTTCCCTTGGTTGGTCTTTCTGTTCATGTGCCAGTATTCACTTGTTTTATTTTTATTATTTATTTGTTTAACTTGTTCATATGCTAGTGTTAACAGTGACTGAAGGTCTGCAATACATTGTAATATTTGGGAAGAGGTATTACTAATTTAGAGATGTTTGTTATTTCAAGTATTTCAAATGGGTCTATTTCTCCAACTGGATGATAAACACCACGTTTTACACTCTGATTCTTCCATGCCACCCCAAACAGTGCTGAGAACATGGCAGATGGTTAAGAAATACTTGATTCTTGGAAAACAAACTTTCAGATTCCTAGTACTGATCCACTGCTTCTCTCTCCCCACCAAATGATATACTTGCGAGCTGTGGAGTGATGACCTGGGCTCTGCACCTGGATTTGTACCATGGTCAAGAATGTGTCTCTTGCCATACCCAGCATCTGTGCCTTGGTAGACAGGATGAATGGCGCCCCTAAAAAGCAATTCAGCTCAACAGAATGGACAGGGGCTTTGGAATCAGACCAACCTGGATTTGAGGCCTCGCTCTGCCATTAAGCAGTGTCACTATGGACAGGTCACTTGCTCTCTCTAAAACTCTGTTTTCTCATCTATAAAACTGGGATCATAATATCTCCCTCATCAAGTAGTTATCAAAATAAAATGAGATATAATTCATAAAGCTCCTCATATAGTGCCTGGTACTTCAATAATAACTTCTGCAATTCATGGTAGTAATAGTTGTAATCGTAGAAGGAATTTTTTTTTAACAATTATTCAACAGGAATTTATTAGATGTTTGGAGAAATACGTAAGACAAATCTTAATTATCAGACTTTGTACCCAGCACTCTGAAGTAGCAGCAGCTGCCTCCAATAAAAGGGAAAATGACGATGACAACCAACTTTGGCCACAAGTTAGGCACTGGGTGACCAGGCTCAGAGAGGCAGCATTGCACAGAAGGGAGAGCACTGTCTCAGGAGCCACTTTCCAACTTACCCAGGCCACCTTCCTCGGGAAAGTGACTTCATTTCTCTGAGCTTCAGTTTCTTCCTATAGAAAATGGGATTATGAGTAGTGCCTACTTGACAGGGTTGCAATGAGAAGTAAATGCATGAGTCCCCAGATCCCACTTAGAACCTGGCACATAGTGAGAGCTAAGGAACTGTCATTTATTCCTTTTTTATTTCCTTCTCTTTCTCCTCTCACCATTGAATGCCCTAATTACAGTCCCCCATTAAGGGACTGAAAGAATGATAGACTCAGCTCAATGAATTTTAAGGAGGGGCTAGTAATTAAGACAATTTACCTTCCCTTCTCCCTGTAAGCCTATTTGCTCAACTTAGGTTACAAGATTTTCCAATGAGTTTACAAATAAGGTAATTGAGTAATAAATTATCCCATTGATAGGAACGGTCAGATCATTGAAAAACACCAGCATTCTACCTTGTTACCAAAAAAGCACAAGTTTGATGGGCAGTTCTAGGTTAACCCCTTTGCTCCTAAAGCACCATTTCTCATATCACGCATTGGATGAGATGCTTGGATTAATTTTTGGTAGAACGAGAGTTGGAGAGAGATGGGGCCTGTCCTCACATGATGTGGAGTCATATCAGCTACAGTTAAAACAATCCTATTCTTAGGTCGAATGGCTGAATTAGGACTCAGTCTCCCGAAGCTTTTCTCTGCTTCTGAGATTCAAAATGGAAAAGGAAGTTGCCTCTAACCATGCCCTCTCCCCCAACCTGACCTCCATACCAGCTTTAAAACATATATTTTTTCTCCTATTTTAGTTTTTCTTTTTGCCATTCATTACCACCATCTCCTCAGGTGCTCTAACTTTTGGATCTTTACCCCTATCTTGAAATGTCAAGGTAGGGAAGGTCTAAGTCTCCTTGTGATGGGAACGATTCTAAGTTACCTGCTGGCCCTGGCGTATCAGCCTGGGACGTGCTGGTGGAAAGCTGGTAGAAGGCAAGGGATAGGACCAGAGACTGAGGATGAGGCAGGGCAGACTCAGCTCTGGGTACCATGGGTAGAGCTCCCATTACTAGCAAGCCAGGGTAGAGAGGAGGCAACCAATGTTTGGACAGAAATTTGGGAGGGGAGAGGAAAGGGTTGCTGGTAGAAGGGAGAGAAAGACAAGAAAAATCACCTTATTATCCTTTATCCCTAGCCAAGCTTTGTTGTGGGGGCCTTTCTTTCTTGGGGGTAAGGTTGTGAGGCCTTGCTGACTCAATTTCTTTTCCTTCTCATGAGTGACAAAAATTAAGACCCATCAATTGAGGTGAGAGTTCCTGGCATTAGCCCCTGTGTGCATTTCCCTATTTGTTGCAGTTGGAAGCATTGGTTTGTGGCATGCCTGTCCCCACCCCAGCCACCCTGAGAGCAGTACACCCAGCATGGCGTGGCTGCAGGTGAAGAGGGAAGTCTCTGTAACATGTCTCAAGGGGAAACAGGCGAGCTTTCCCTTCCGAAACAGCTTCCCCATTCTGCACCATGTTTAGGCCTCTGGGTCCAAAGCTTGGTTTTCTGATTTAGAGGAAGACAAGCTCTCTGGTCTTACTGGAATGACCCCAATGAATCCAGAGTAGCTCTGGGGATTTACCCAGACCCGAGCTTTCTTATAGGTGTATTTATTTTATTGAAGTCATCAGAGGCCAGTTTGTCTGGACTGTCATCCCTACTGGCACCATTCCCTACCCTGCCTGGCCACACCCACTCAGGGACTGAGCCTGGATGAAATGGGGTTGGCATCTGTTCCCTGCCTTCATCTTCCTCCCACCCTTCCCTTACAATCGACATGAATCCAGTTGTGTGGAATGTAAACTGACTGTGTGAGCGTTAAAGCACAATGCTGTTTCTGGTTTTTCATCTGAATTTCCTTTTCCAGGATGAAGATGGGAGTTGATTCTCTGGGGACCCTGCTGTATCACTTATTTAGAGCTCTATGCATTCCGGATCAATCTGTAGTTTTAAAAGAGCTACAGACCTTCTAAAGGGAATATGCTTTTTAAAGAAATATGCTATTATTAATGAGATTGAGACAGGAAAATAGATCAAAGCAGGTTAGCTAAAGACCAACAGTGTTTTTTTTCCCCCAAGTTTTTCCTATTCTTACGTACTAAATGCAGGTAAATTATCCCAGTACATAGTCCAGCAGTATAGTATATGGGTTGGGAGCCTGGGCTTTGGGTTAGAAGCTCAAGTCCTGACTTTGCCACTCAGATTATACAACCTTAGGCAGTTACTTCATTCCTCTGAGTTTCAGTTGCTCCTTGACTAATTGGGTCATTGAGAAGAATAAATGAGGTATATTGATAAAATGTTTAGCATGGGGTCTTGGCTCAGAGCAAGCCATTAATATAACAATACCGCTTAGAATGCACAGAGTGCGCCTGGCTTTCAATTACCTAATTGGATCCCCTGGACGTTTCTGAGGCATAAACAGTAAAGGCAGCATTACCACTGCTTTATGGAAGGGGAAACTGAGAACCAGGGAGGAAAAGTGAATTGCCCCAAGGTCACACAGATCCTTAAAGACAGAGTAAAGGCTAGAATCCAGGGGCTCTAGTTCCTTCTCTAATGTACTCTTAATATTCTGCTCTGTTTCATAAACACAAAGACTGAAATATGACACATATGAATCAAATAGAATAACATGCTTAGACAAAGCATGTGGATTATTGACACAAGGATGGGCCCATGAGGTGCTGCTAAAACTTATCCTTCTTTCATTAATCTCTTGTTAGCATTCTATTGCGAACTTTGTGCGTCCAAATGCCATGTGCGATACTCTGTGATTTATATGCATGACCTTATTTCATCCTCAGGGTAACCCATGAAATAAGTGATATTAACTCCATTTTACCAATAAGGACATGGAGGCTCCAGGAGGTTACATGTCATGCTTCATTCAGATAACAAACTCAGTTCCAAAGTGCATATCCTTAAACTGCTACTCAATATGTTCTGACTTCTAGGGAGATGGAAGACTAGCCTTCCCAGAGCAATCAAGAAAGAAGAGAAGCTACAAGGAGCGACAATGAGAAGGACTCACTGCAGGATGTATAGTTCCTCCAGCCAGTCACCGTGATCCCCTGAGTCTGGCAGGTGCTGGCGTAGTTCTGCAGCCAGCTACAGGCGGTCTGCACCGCACCCCCATCGATGCAAGAGTCAAACAGGCAGTTCTTGTAGAAGAAGGTGGGGTTAACTTTGCTGTGACACTTGGAGAAGCCAGCATTCTGGTTGGGGATCAGGCTGCACAGCTGCTGCACTTTGGAGAAACCTTCTACCTTGGCACAGGACGGACAGCGGTCCCCACAGCCCACCTGGCAGAAGGTGTCCCTCTTCACCCAGCTCTGCCCAAACTCATTGACGCTGGATGCGAGCAGACCTATGGGCATCTCCAGGTCGTCGTCAGGGTTGCCGTTGTAGCGGCCGCACAGACCATAGGTGCTGTTCTGCATGCTCCGAGGGACTGTGATGGACAGGAAGGTCTTCCAGTCATATACAACCTTCAGGCCAAAATCAGTTTCCACCACCACGTGGAAACCAAAGGAAAAGATATTTATCTTTCCTTGCCCCAGCTTCAGGGGCAGATAGAGCCGTTCACTGTTGACCTATAAGAGGAGAGATGAGGGGGAGAAACACAGTTGGCCCAGAGATTTCCCAGCTCTTCTCCTAACAATGAGTCTCTTGAAAGACAAGTCCCAGAGGGAAGTTGGAGCAGGTTGAATGTAGTCTTTGCATGTACTGTTGTTTATGTCAGTCAACTATTATTATTAGGATTTGAACAGATGCAAATGACTATCCTTGGTACACTAATATACTTATTTATTTCAGTGCCTTCTGTTTACATAGCATTATTTCCCCCAGGAGTTCAAATTGTTTTCTCCAAGGTAATGTAAAGGTAATAAGAATTCAATTAAAGTTTAGACTGAAATACCAAAACATAGAACTCTTGTGTTTCTATTTCTAGCTCTACCATGGAATTTATTTTAGGCAAGCCCCAGTGTATTAATTCCTTCGAGATTTCTTTTTTCTTTAAGGATGGCTTCACTTTGCTGTTCGCTCTGTCTGAAATGCCACTCTCCGCCCATCAACATCCCTCTCATCCTCCAGACCCTGCTCCAATGTTGCCTCTTCTGTAAGGCAAGATTTTCTGAGCCCGTGGTCAGAATTAATCACTCCCTTGTCTGGGAAACCAGGGCAGGTTATTTATACTTCTCTTGTATTCCTCTCTACCGCTGGCCAGGATCAAGCCTGCAGACACTGTATTGCAGCACACATCACAATCTGCCTTATGTTATGACTGGTGTACGCTTTTCCATCTCACCTACAAGATTATGGGCAACTTGAGGGCAGGAACCACATTTTACTGATCTTTATGCCCACCTTCCCCTCATTACCCCCCAGGCACCCAGCACAATGTCTCCCACGGAGGGGGCACTTCACATACGTTTCCTCCCACATATTTTTAAATTCAGACAAGAGGGAAATCCCTTAACAGTAAACTCCAGGACTGCACTGCCCTTGAACTATTTTGATTCAGAGGAGCCAAATCCTACAGCCTGTGGCCAGGTTAGTGCATGATGGAAGATGGACAGGCAGCTTGCTCACTGCAGCAAGGGCTCACGGGGGAGGTGGCATGCCTTGTGGGAGAAGCAGCTGTTTTAAGATTGCTCTGACCAGAAATCCCTTCCCCCAACCTCCTTCCTCTCTCTCTTGGCTGACACCACTTTCCACGCCTTCTCCTGCCTTGGTTCAGACTCTCATCACCTTTCACCTTGACTGTAGCGTACTCTCCTAACTTGTCTCTCTGGCCCCAGGATTGCCCCTCCATTCGGTCACTACCGCCACGCCAATAATCTTAATGCAATTGAAAGCAGTTAATCCAATCCTGAAAGGCCTCTCCAGGGCTTGAGTAAAGTGTCTGATATTCTTAGCACTTCACCCTGGGCTCTCCAAGAACCGGCCCTGCCTCTCAGATCCACCCCATTGGCTTCCTGCACACCAGCAACACCCAACAGTTTGCAGTTCCCTAAATGAACCAAGCTGTGCCATTCCACCCTGCATTTCCTGTGCTGTGAGTGTGATGGATGCTTTCCGTGCTCCACCCAGGGCCCCCAGTCCCAGGCCCTGCGACTATGGGCTAATGATAACTCACAGCCGGCCTTGGCCCCATGGGAACCACGTTGCCCAGAAGATTCTGACCCCCTAATCCAAGGGTAGCCCTTGGCCAATGACTGGCTGACACTGTGAGTCGAGTGCCAGGGCTCCCACTAGCCCAGGCTAAAGCTGTTCTGCAGCTTGGACCACAGCCCTGCTGAGCTCTCTTGACCTGGTGCTATCCTCACTTTCCCAAGATTTCCCACCTCAGACTTTGCTTCTCAGGAACCTGACCTAAGACAACAGGGATGCCCTTGACCCCACCTTTTTCCTGGGGCAATGCTCACCCTTCAAAACTCAACTATCTCCTTCTGTGAGTATTCGCTGAGGCAGAATTCATTCATTCATTCAGTAGACATTGATTTGGCACCACTGAGTGCCAGGCACCGTGCTCAAGGCTGGGATACAAAACATATGGCCTTTTCCTAGGAGCTCATAGGCATGTGGCAGAGGGAAGCACACAGACAGATAACAATACCATGTGATAAAAGCAATGATAGAGGTAAACAGATGCACAGGCACCAGCCTCAGCCTGGGCACAAAATCAGGGCTGCCTGCAGAAGACAATGGCCATACCCGGTCTCAGAGGAGGAGGAGGAGTTGGCCCATCAAGGAGGGGTGGGAGTAAAGACAAGGGAATTCGAAGTAAAGGGCTCACTCAGTCCCAGCAAAGGCCCAGGTAGGTAAGGGAAAAATATCCTGATAAATATGAGTAATTACAGCAATTTAGTGCTGCTGGGGCATAGCGTGTGGCCTTGGGAGTGGTGGGAGATGAAAATGGACAGGTGGGGAGGGTCTGGATCATGAAGGGCCTTGTATCCAGTACACACATGGCAAAGCGGCCTATGAGATAAAGCCTGCAAAACACCCATTTGTTTTGTAAAACAAAAGCATCAGCAATCTTAATAAGAGAATTTAAGTAGGAAGATGAGGCCAGAATTTGGACTGCAGAAACAAATAGCAAATAAAGTAACAAACAGGAGATTCAGAAGCAGAGATGATGCTCTTAAGAGTCTGACCAGAAATGGAAGGAGAGAGATTGGATTGAAGCTAGTGGGGAACTGGGGGCAAGGCTTGTTTGAGAATGAACATGTTTATGGGTTAAAGAGAAGGATGCTGTAGAAAGACACAGAAGGGAGAGGAGACAACAGAGGGCCAAGATCCCAGGGAAGGCAACAAAGAGATGGCAGAGGGGGAAAGCAGCCATGGGAGGAGAAGAGATGCCTCATTCTTGGCACTTGGAAGGGAGGAGGTGGAGAGGATGCAGTGATAGTCATTTAAGGGACAAGGTGCATGGAGGGTGACAGGAGGAGCGAGATCAGGCCATGGAGACTCTGATCTATCCTGAGAGTTCACAGCGAATAAAGTAAAAGCCTTGCATTCAGAGGCCAATTGGTGCCAGCTGGCTTTTCTTCCTAAGTTACCTTGCATTCTATATTTCTGGCTACCTGATGTCACGCAGGAGGCAATGCCTTGGGGAGGCAATATAATTGGATGAAGCTAAAGGCTTGCAAATTCTGCCATTGCCAAGGAGAGCTTTGAGAAAGGAACACCCTCGACTCAGACAGGCTCGGCTTCTCTGTGTCTCAGAAACCCCACGCATGCCGCCTCCACCCTGGCACCACTGCCCTGCCTCTCTGTGAGTGAGAAATGGAGGAAAAGAGGGAGCTCAGAGGCAGGAGGTCAGAGGAAAAGGGAGAGGCTAGAATGGCAACAGGCTTGATGGATGGAGGAGGAAGTCGCAGAGGATGATGAGAAGATGTGGGAGGAGTCGGGGGAAGTGTATTTCAAATATTTAAGTATTGGAAATAAGACCACATATTAGAGTTTTTGGAGACAGTTTTCCTTTAAACAACAGACTTTGACCTACTTCTCCAACAAGATCTTCTGCAGCAAAGTCTCCCTGAATCCCTCACTTTGCTACCCACTCCGAGTCTTCACCAATATTTCCTTTTCATGGACACCTTCACCTCCTTCTTGGCCTGGCAAGTGTAATCCTCCAGTGATCAACTCTGGGTCTTCTCTTCCAGGAAGCCCTCCCTGAGGTCCTCGCAGCTGATTTAGGCAACCCCTCCCCTGTGCTCTCACACCCTCCATGAGCAACATTTTTGTAGCTCTTCACGTTACACAGACATTAATTGCCAACATGTCTGTCTCTAGCACTAGACTCTTTTAGGACAGAGGCCATATTTGATTCATTTTTCTACCCCCAGGACTTGGTAGAGAATAAGCATCAATAGAAGCTCAAGACACTAAACCAAGCCAGAGTGATGCTCAAAACCCCACTCTTCTGGCAATAAATGATAAAGACACAGGCTACGAGGACCCTGAAAACCTCCCCGTTGGCCTGAATCATGTCAGACTTGGCTGTGATGAAGCCTGGGGGTAGGGGCAGGAGTGAGGCAGTCTCTGATGAGCTCTGGCTGTGGATGGCTGAGATGGGTTATGGCGGTGCCCCCAGGAGTGGCTCACCTTCTGCAGCTCACCCCTCTACCCTGTCTGGTCTGTAGATAGCACATTTATTTCTAGCTTCTCTTGGCTTAGTGGATTTTCCCATGTCCTGTGGTGCTGCTGAATGCAGGGAAAGGTCAGAGTCATAGAAGAACCCTGTGTCCCAAGGAAGCACTTTCTTATCACTCTCCATTTCTGAGGGCCCCAGCAGTGACCTGCACTCTAGGCTGTTTTACCCAGCACTTCATTTCACACTGTCATCCTAACGGCCATTATTCTTCAGGCTCAGGGAGAGATGGTGACTAATAAAAACATCATGGGAAAACAAATGCAAATCACTGAATAAGCAGATTCTGCAATGCATTTTAATAATCTGAAGTAACTGTTAAATCTATCCCCTATGCCTCGAAAGAAAAGAACCCTCGATGCCCCCTGAACTTGGTCTTCTTGTCAAGAGTTTGAAAGCTGTATACTCTGTTTCCAACTTGAGCACTTAGGACATCTCAGTGACTTAGAAAGAAGTACCCTAGCAAGAACTCCCCCCACCTCTTTAATCCATTTCTCCTTGATCCCCTGTTGTGGGTTACACTGTGTCCCCCCAAAACAAATGTTGAGACCTTAACCCCCAGGACCTGTGAATGGACTGATTGGAACTAGGGGCTTTGTCGATGTGATCAAGTTAAGATGAGGTCACCCTGGATTAGGTGGGGTTAACTCCAGTGAATGGTGTTCTTAAAAGGAGAAGGAGATTTGGACACAGAGAAAACAGGAGACACAGAGGGAAGGAGGCCATGTAAAGATGGAGGCAGAGACTGGAGTTTATGCTGCCACAAGGTAAGGAACATTGAGGATTGCCCACAGCCACCAGAAGCTATGAGAGAGGTAGGGGGTGGTGCTTCCCCAGGACCTCCTGGGGAGTCTGAACCTGCCACCACCTTGACTTTGGACTTACAGCCTCCAGAACTGGGAAAGAATGAGTTGCTGTTGTTTTAGGCCGCCCAGTCTGTGGTATTTCATAATGGCAGACCTTAATAAACTAATTCACACCCCCCTCTCCATCTCTCTGTGAGGAAGAAGTCTGCTGTGTGGTCTTGGGACTTTAGCAATAAGTGCATCTTGTAAGACTGGGGCAGAGCACATGCCTGGAAGGAGAGCTAACCCACTGGGGGCTTAACCCTAAAGTAGAGGGAAAGGGAAGGAAATGCCTAGAGACAGTGGGAAGTTGTTTATTGTGAAGGAGAGGGAAGGGTAGCATGAAAGAAGAGTAGGTGCTCACGAGGACCCCACAGTCTATACCTGAAAATAACTGGGAGGATGTCTGAAGCCAACATGCGTAGCCTCAGGTGTCGAGGTACCTAAATGCAGACAGTGTGTAACACGAGGCAGAAAACACAATTCATCTTAAACTAGATGAGACAGGATCCATGAACAGATTACATTTTAAAAGAAAAGAAAAACCTGAAAGGCAGAAGAGCAGCGAGTATCAAAGAGATAAGTAACTGCATGAAAACACCTAAATCTAAGGGTGGAAAGACATCACAAAAGGAAACAAAGAGTAAAGGACAAATACAACGCAAGCAATGTGGGCAAAACGACCGATACATTTGTTTTAACGTAAGATGAAAATGGATAGAGGGAAGTTGTCATAATGGGTAGCTTTGACTATCCAAACATCTAGAAATCTTATGTGGCTGGAAGCCAAGACTCTGACACAGTCCTAACTTGCCTCAGTGGCAATGTAACCTCTCAGATTGTTGAAGCAGTAACTAGCACTGTGACAAAATCACGGGAACCCTGGAAGAAAAGGGTTATTGTGTCGTTTCATTCATTCTTTTTTTGGGGGGTCGGGGGAACAGAGTCTCACTCTGTCACCCAGGCTGGAGTGCAATAGCATAATTTCACCTCACTGCAATCTCTGCCTCCCGGGTTCAAGCATTTCTCTGCCTCAGCCTCCCGAGTAGCTGGGATTACAGGTGCCCATCACTATGCCTGGCTAATTTTTGTATTTTTAATAGAGACGGGCTTTCACCATCTTGGGCAGGCTGGTCTTGAACCCTTCACCTTCTGATCCACCTGTCTTGGCTTCCCAAAGTGCTGGGATTACAGACATGAGCCGCCATGCCCAGCCTCATTCATTCATTTGACCAGTGTTTCGAGTGTCACTAGGTGCAGGGGGTTGCCCATTCATTCAACATAAAGATGAATTAGGTATGGTTCCTGCCCTTATGAAGCCCATGATTAGAAGTGAGAGAGCTTTAGACATGAAGATCACGAAAAACACAGCCTGATGAATGCAATAATGGCTACTGGAATAAACTGTTAGGATGAGCAGAAAGGAAAACAACTGGAATTTAGGTTTGTGGTGTGCAAGCAAGGGAAGAGGACGACACAGTGAAATTGCTCCCTTAGATGCTAAAAAGGAAGATTTTCAATAAACTTGAAAGGCTTGGGAACCTCTCTTTGTCAGAGAAGGAAGTTGAAGAAATCCCGAGGCAGAAAAAGAAGTCAGTACAGTTGCCCAGGGAACTCTTTAGTTAGGTTTAGATAGTTTAGTTCAGTATAGCTCAGAATTTCTAACACAATGTATACAAGATGAAAGAGTCCCTTTAGAGATAGAAAAATTATGACACAGACCTGTGATGATAATGTCAAGAAGGCAAACACCCTAAATCAGCTCTCTGAAATGCTAAAGCAGAGGTCGTTGGCTTGCTTCTTAGCATTTCAAGTCATGTGCAGAGCAGGACCCTGGAGAAAGAATGGCTGGGCCTGTGGCTGGGGCTGATGTCTGCAGGCCAGACGAGGAGTGCACAGAGCTCCTCAGCCCCACTGCCCCTGTCTTCGTGGTCAAGGAAGTGCTCTTTGGGTGAAAAGGGTGGGAAGCTTAGAAAGAGTGAGTTGAAGCCTAAATGAGTAAAGGGATTGTAGGAGAGCCACGAGTCCTCCAAATGTGTGAACTTACAAATCCTGTGGGTGCCAAAAGGGAGACCAGGAGAGATGGAGGGAGGCCAGAACAGGTGAATATCACCCTGATCTCAAAAAAGGGAAGTGGGTGGACGAGGACAATAGCATCGGTTAGGGAGGCCTACTCTGTACGAGGTAGGCATTTCTTTTACAGGTGGAGTGACCAAGCTAGGAGGTTAAGTGACTGCCTGAAGTCACACAGCAGCCACCAAGCAGGGATGCTAACCCCGGTCTGTGCTCTCTCCAACATACTCCGCTGCCACATGAAAGGCCCACTTCCAGAGCTGGCTCTGCCTCCTAACTTGGTGTATGTGACTTGGGCAAATCATTTTTTTCTCTGAGCCTCTGTTTCCTTCTCTGTAAGACGAAGTGACCGAAAATCTCTAGGGCCTCTCTCTGCTTTAATAGACTATGATTTTCTTTGGATTCCGGACCTGCCTGATTCAACTGCAGCCTGGCTTGCTGACCCCATCCTTACGTCTCCACGGCTCCCCTCTCGAGGGGGCCCCGTGACTACTCACCAGCACAGTGTGCTTGTAGGCTCGGTGGATCACGATGCTGTAGCCAAACACGGTCACGTCCACCTGCTTAACCCACAAGGCCAGTGACGGGTCCCGGTCCTCATTCTTGGCTGTGACAACAAACTTGGGGAAAGAGTCTGAGCTCGGCCTGCTTCCTGTGGTGCACAGGATGAGCGGGCAGCTGGTCTGGAAGTCAAAGGAGAAGCCATCAAAGGTGAGGTAGTGGCCATAGCCTGAGACGATGCAGGAGGCGTCGGTGCGGGCTTGGCAGTAGTACAGGCCGCCCTCCTCCATGCAGTACTCATCATCCTTGCAGGGCACAGTCTCACAGTGGACACTGTTGTCTGTGCCATTGCAATAGCAGAAGATCTGGCAGTCCAGGTCCACCCAGAAGGTCTCATTGGTGACAAGCTGGTGCCCCTCAAAGTTGCAGCCACACTCACTCCGCGTGACACACTGGCTGCCCAGTAGAGCGTAGCCCTCATCACACTGACATCCCTCAGAGCAGCTATCCACGCAGATGGGGCCCAGGGCAAGGGTCTCACAGGTCTCTGTACATGTTATACACTCCTCAAAGTGGCTGTTCTCTGGGCACTCCAGCGCTGCAGGTGGTCAAGGAGAAGACGGGTTTGAGAAAAGGACAAAAGTCAGAGACATAAGTGTGTGTGCATGCATGTGTGTGTGAGTGCATGTGTGTGTGTGCATGCATGTGTGTGAGTGCATGTGTGTGTGCATGCATGCGTTTGTGCATGCATGTGTGTTTGCATGTGTGTAGGAGTGCATGCACATGTGATTGCACATGTGTGCATGAGTGCATTGTGTGTGCATGTATGTGTGAGTGCATGCACATGTGATCGCACGTGTGTGCGTGAGTGCATTGTGTGTGGATGTATGTGTGAGAGTGCATGCGTGTGTGCACATATCTGTGCATGCATGTGAGCGTGCATGTGCACGTGTGTGCATGTGAGTATGCATGTGTGTAATTGCATGTGTGTGCCTCTGTATCTGTGTGTGTGGTCTTATGCACACAATACAGTAAGCTGTACTCATCCTCATTTGGGAGATCCAAGTTCCAGTGGCACCCCTTCATTCACATACTCTGCTAGGGCACCTAGCTTTCCATGTAGAAGATTTTGAGTCTACATTTCTGGCAAGATGGCCGAATAGGAACAGATCCAGTCTCCAGCTCCTAGCGCAAGTGACACAGAAGACAGGTGATTTCTACATTTTCAACTGAGGTACTGGGTTCATCTCACTAGGGAGTGCCGGACAATCGGTGCTGGTCAGCTGCTGCAGCCCGACCAGAGTGGAAAGAGCTGAAGCAGCGGGCAACGGCATCGGCT